GAATTACGACACAAGCAAGAACGAATGTATTGTATTTGGAATTCGAAATCGAGCATTCAGCAAGTACAAAAGAATCATTAGTTAATTCAAACACCACAGATTACTCGTCATTTACTCTTACAATTTGTCAATTATTGCATATTACCTATTATCCTTTACTGCTCTCCATAATTTTTCCCGGCTTTTGAGAAAAAACTTTGCTGTATTGTGGAGGGTGCTGAAGGCAGTTAGCAAGATGTGTGGTGAATCTTTCGAGGTCATAATTAATATGGTTGTGGATAGACATCTAAAGTCATGCAAACTCCTGGCAGGTGTTATTTTATCAGATACTAACCATCCCCTTCACTCTTATCTCTTTCCTTGTTTATCTTCTGGTGGAACGAGGCGTAATTACATTAAAATCCATGCACGCAAACAAAAGTATAAAAGTTCTTTAATACCTTACATAGCAAATATACTCTGTGACGAACAGGTTGTTAGATTTAACCTAGTCGATAACCTGCATTCTTAACGTGTCTCTAATTTGGAAGCTTGTACAGTTTTTCGGGTTTTTTAACACCTTATTTCTCCTTTTTTGTCTTTGTTTCTGTTTTTTGTGTAAGAAACTTGTTGAAATACCCTGTGCTGGGAATTCTATATTGTACTAAAATATAATATTGAATAAAGCCATTAATAATAATAATAATAAGTTAAAGCAGTCACCTTACATAGATGACACGATAGGGTGTAGTGGCTGTGCTTCGTTATTTAATCACCCTCGAACCGTTATCGTATAATCTTCAACGATGTTTGAAATCAGAAGGCAAAAAGAAGCAGCTACTACAGTTTATTTAGTAGATAATTCGGACCAGACAGCAGAGAAGCAAAATGAATGAGCAAGTGAACTACGATTGTAGCAGTAGCAAGTAGTTGTAGTGAATGGGTGCAAATGTACACATATATATGTATAGGAAAATGGATGAGTCAGCGAATAGACTAAGCAGTTAATAATGAAGCGAGCAGAATGAATACATGCGTAGGCGCTAAACAATGTTCAAGCATATGTATTTCATACAAGCATAATAATAAAGACAGTACAACAAGTTGTTATATCACGGATGACTTTGTCCATTAGATAGGTCAACAAAAGACCTTGACTGAACTAAACTCAATTGCACGTGAGTCGCTATAAGGGTAGTCCACACTAGGTATTAGCTGTGAGATGGAACGTTGACGCATACTGTGAGTATTATATACGCAATATGTAATCTCAGATAACAATATGTCGCCAGCGTCCGAAATCTAAGACTGATACATAACGTAGTACGCACTGATCGGCAAATTGATTACTTGAGCGGGAAGACAGTAGTGGATGAAGAAAATACATATATATTCATTTGTATATACACATTTATGCTCTTTAAGAATGATTCAATTAAAGATCCAACTTATCGGCACATCACATGTGGCTGATATCAAGACTAGGTTCCATGTTATTCCCGATAAAAAGATGTTGTAGATGTGACCTATGGAGAATAGTATTAAGGGAATTGACGGCTGTATTTTTCACAAATTACAATCGAAGCTGCAAAGATAGCGTTGTTCACCGTAATGCTATGGGACAAACAGATTTAATTACCGAATGACGCTAAGTAACCAGATCAGTGATGGTCATGTGTTGTTGGTCCTTAAAGCTCTTTTCTGGATGTTCAAAAGACTCAAACCAAATGAACTCATTTCCGCCCACTAAATTACTTATGACCAGCAGCACAAATAAACCATCAAACTGCCGGCAACAGTGACCTACTTTTTGCATTTCTTTGCTGGTATCCCTGGTGGTGTTTTACCCTTTTATTGCTGATTTTATAACCATGTCTAATATTTTAGCTCACGGAATTCGTGCGGATCCCGATGCTCTTGAATCTTGAATCCACATGACTAAAATCATAGACTTCATTTGAACACGGAGCTAACGAACCAAGGTTTATTTGATTAGACCAGACTACATCGCTCTGTATAGTGTACGAAGCGTCTTAGAATGGTGCGGCCTGCTCTATGCAGTCAAAGGTTTCTCTATCACGAGATAACGTGCTAAACAGCAAAAAGAATGGCTATTAAACAAGCGTTTGGAAATAAGAGCATTCCTGAAACGATGTAATCAAATATATATCTGCAAGGACTTGAAAGAAAGACTTCATTAGATATTCACAGACCAACAATCACCAACAGAAACACTCCGTGTAAGTGATTTTGGTCAAACACTTCTTATTGTCAATGGTCCGGACGAATGCAACAATGAAATTAAGAAATAAATTTAGGTCTTTAAACGAAGTCAAATATTACAAGCTTAGACAAGGACCACTGATAAACATAAAACGTGGTTACAAGAGGTCCGAATAAAAGTTAAAGTAAAAAGCACCGAAAAAACAAACAAACAACAATACTGTCCTACAAAACACGTGAGAGGGATATTCAGCCGTGGGGTGAAAATATCACCGAGCCCTAGACAAATCATCCGGTAGTTGGATCATTGAATATCGGACGAATCATCGATCCCTGTCAAATTCAAGGACAACTAACGCTCATCAGTTAATCGTATGTCATGGACTGGCCCATGTGGTGGGGGTTTCACTATCTTCTCTGTACTCGTTCTAACTAATATATTTTCGTAGTAAGGTCCTTTCTGCTATACGGTTTTCAAAACAGCCATAGCACTTTGATACGACGAAACGGCAAACCTCGTCAAGTACTGACCACGAGGTGACCTCGAAGTTAGTTTTCGGTCAGCATTTTGTCCCATATAACTCGAGTAAGCCCCCGATCATTCGACATAGATCAGATAAGTTAGTGACCTAGCACAGCGAGGTCGTCCCGTCATATCATCAGTCTAACAAATATGTTGAATTTACAGCCGTCGAACCTTTTAACGTAGGTTTGCAGTGGTTAAGCGGATGTGTCAGAAATTAACAACGCTAATTTTGTTCAGCTATCCGGAAATAAATGCTAATGAAAATAAATATGACGAAGAAAAAACGTGTGAATTTGAATTGCAAGTGTCTGCTTATAATTTGCAATATAACTAAGCGTCCTTCAACCATTAGAGACGATAAGAGGTGAAAAATATCATTCCTAATGCTTTTTTCACTGAATTATCTAGTAGGTCATTTGCACACCATAGTTAGTGTTTATCTAAGTTGAGGGGGTTAACCTATCAAAAAACTTGATTAGTCATACGTGTAGACAGTTGTCTACGCAAGATACTGAATGTCCATTAGCCGGATACCATCAACAACAGCTTACTGTGAGAGAGGATAAACCAGCTTCTAGCTGGAGAGGAAATTAGGAAAAGACGTCGGAAATGGATAAGTCATACATTACGGAAACGGAGAAGAGGAAGGCCAAAGAGCACACTGTCGAGAACTGGAAGCAGACATGAAGAGGATGAATGACAACTGAAAAATGATTACTCAGGACAGACTTGGAAGGGGAATGCTGGTGAGCTGCCAATGCACCCACATGAGGAGTAACAGGAGTAATTAACTAAGGGGCTATTTATTTAAATCATTTATACTTAAAAGGAAAACGTCATACTGTTGATGTAAGGTCAACATAAACTTTTTAAATTTGTAATTCACCTACATTTCTATATGTATATGATTGACTTAGTATGTGGTTCGGATTGATCGAATAATTGTGTGTCAGCCTACCCTCTTATCACTTTGGTTCGTTTAAACATTGTTTGCTCAAATGTCCGAAGACTCACTTTACTATATGAACATTTTTATAGCGGCATTGGTCCCTTACCTTAAGATCTTTGAAGTTGAACATACATTAATTGAGAAGACTGATATTCAATTTTTAACACCATTGAAAAGGTTAGAAATGGTGAAAGCGGAAAACTTGGTAGTCATGGCAAGATTGGGCCATGCAGACGTAGTCACTCTATGTAAATCATTCCTTTTCCCACAAAATATATTACTCTATCCCAGACCGAATATGTCTTCAGCCACGACTACTTAAAGTTACGATAAGACAAGTCAGCATATACAATGATATAACTCCCAATTAAGTCCGACAGATTAGGTTGCCACATCATGGCAAACCTACAGTTGTGGAATAGGTTTGTTATTTTAGTAGCATAGATTGATGTACTAATACAGACATAGACCATGATTTCATATGTTCATTTTTTAGGCAATACTCAGCTATTTTCTCTCTGATGTCCGTGTCTATTAATTGAAGCTTGCTATTAAACCGTCCATAACAGTGTAACGTCCGAATTCTACCCCAGATCGTTCTTCGAGAACGATCAATCAATACACTCGAAACTTACGACCTAAATGAAAGGAAACAAAATACTAATTCTTGTGCCAAAAGAAAACCGAAAGATCTTTGTCCAACATTGTAAAAAACCAGGTTCAAAGGTTTGGAGAGAGGATTGATCTAGAAACTAGCAAAAATAAGGATATTCAAAACATAAGTTTGTAGTCAGTTAAATACCTTGGGTTTTTCCCGTAATATGGCCATGTCATACTACTTCATTCTGGAGAATAGTTACTAAATAAGGTTAAGTAATTCGTGACTTTCACCCCGCAATTTGTCTAGTTAACATTAACCTTCTTATGTCCCGACCAAGGAACTTCCTGTTCTTTACGTCCACTGCTCTTGTCATGTGATCGGTTTGAGAGGTTTACTACATTCTTATTTAAACTGGCTTCTCTTCACTTATCCTGTACTTGAAGACTATTCAAATTATTATTTAATGCTATGGGCCTGATGAATGCGACTGTATAAATCATGGAATGAAATCGACAAAGCACTTAATCAACAGTGTACAGCCTGGAATTGAGAGTGGTTTATTTCAAAAACGATTTCTAGTGAGGTTTCTATAGTCTCTGGACAAAGGAAAATCTACATATTATATCGTTATTGAATTCAAGGAAGCTTTCTACAAGTTTCCTCACATTGGACATTGTCATCTTTCGTGGTCAAGGTTTTCATCGTATGACCTTATTGAATTCAGTTGCCCGGGCTGCCAGTCTCGTGTTAAACAGGCGGTTCAGTCGTTACACGATGGTGCGTTATAATATTGACTCTTTCTAGTTTTTTTTACCCCTCATATTATCTTACCGACTGATTTTTGGGGAAGAAATTTAAAAACACTGAAATGATTGTCTGACAATCGTCAATTAATGATTGTTATTTATTCGGTGTTGTAAATTTTACAGTGTTATTATTGCGTTCATGCCCTCAGTAAATCATGAGTTAAGAAAACTCAGTTCTCTTCCACATCGGCTCTCAAGGAATTTCGGGAATTGACTCTGCACTATATTTGGGCGAAAAGTCGACGATTCGGCGTGATTTTGTGAGATAAGTAGACAATTCAGCGACATTTCAAACAGCGATAAAAAGATAGGAATTTCGCACTTTTTCCTCATAACCGCGCGTTGCTTTTGGTTGCTTGGGTGATTTACATAGATCCCCAACGGTATTTCATTGGTTTGATTTTTGATTTTAAAATTATTCAAATTGTAGGGTTAATTACAATATTTAGGTTGAACTAGTTTAAGTCCTATACGGTTGAGACTTTAAAACTAGCACAATTACGGTTGAAAACTTTGGTATTCCTGAGTTCTGAGACCTTGCTGGCTTAGTTGCAGAGCTTTCACTGTCATTCTCGGTAACATTTTCAGCGTTTAACCCATGTATTAGCGAGCTTTGAAGCTGTTCTACAAGCTCTGTAGTGGTTCATTTCGATAGCCCTGTTCGTGGTTGTCTGTGTTTGTAGGTTTTGTTGTCTTAGTTTGCCTTCGTATTCACGTTGACCGTTGTTGTTGCTTGACTTCTGGTATCGTGATTAATGGAGAGTTCCTTCTAGCATTGACAGCCATTCGGTTTTTATTTCTGGTTTGTTGTTTAGTTTTAAATTCAGGTCGAAATCTATGTGTTACATTTACTGTTAGGTATCAATCAACTTAGTTATTTCACAAAATGTTCAGTGAGACTATAATTTATGGGCGACCATTGAACGACGCTAAAGTGACCATGAGAGTGTCTACCTACTTACTAGGGCTAAATGAGGGATTTAAGGCAGTTTAAAGAATAAGGATTACGATTTACAGTTGATGGTTAGGGTTAGGAATTAGGTTTAGGGTTTTCATCATGAACTGACATTAGCTATAATGCCAAGACTATTTAGCCAAATGGGTGAATAAATTTCGCGCTGAAATACAAGATCTGTTATCCTGAATGTTATTGGTTCGTCCATAAATGATGGTCTCGCCAACCACTGGTTTTGAAATTGTTTAGGGTTTTAGCCCTTCCCGAAAACAGTGCAGCGAGCTAACGTACTCCTGTTAGTCATGTAGGAACATTGGCCGCTCACCAGCATTCCCCTTCCAAGTCTGTCCTGAGTAATCATTTTTCAGTTGTCATTCATCCTCTTCATGTCTGCTTCCAGTTCTCGACAGTGTGCTCTTTGGCCTTCCTCTTTTTCGTTTCCTTTCGGGATTCCGTAATGTATGTCTTATCCATTTCCGACGTCTTTTCCTAATTTCCTCTCCAGCTAGAAGCTGATTTATCCTCTCTCACAGTAAGCTGTTGTTGATGGTATCCGGCTAATGGACATTCAGTATCTTACGTAGACAATTGTTTGGAAACACTTATACCTTTTTGACGATGTTTTGGCAGTTCTCCAAGTTTCAGTTCCGTATATAGAACTATCTTGACCTTCGTATTGTAGATAATGGTTGACAGTTGTTTTGAGTCCCATATGTTCGACTGTAGGAATGCTGCCTTTGCTTTGCCAATCCTTGCCTCTACGTCTGCATCTGATCCTCCTTGTATGTTGATGATGTTGACCAGGTATATGAGTTTCCGCCTATTCCAGAGTTTCTTCATCTAGTGTGATTGGGTTGGTGTTCTCCACGTTTTGATTTGTGATCTTGCTTTTTTCCTTATCTATGTTTAAAACTATTGATGCAGAGGCTGCTGTCACACTCTTCACTTGCATTTGTTGGTGTGTATGGGATAGAAGGGCTAGGTCACATGGGAAGTTTAAATCGCCTAATAGCATCCAAGTTGTCGATTGTATTCTGTGCTTCTCTTGAGGTGTGGAGGTCTACATTATCCAATCAAGGGTAATCAGTCTTGTTTGACTCAGGTCTTCACTTGGAATGCGTCTGTCAGCTGTCCTCCATGCACGACTTTGCGCTGTAGTCCGTCTTATGAGTTCCGTATGATGTTGACGATTTTCTCAGGTACTCCATAGTGTCGACGTTTTCATAATGTTCTTCTGTCCACACTGTCAAATGTTTTCTCATAATCGAGGAAGTCAGTGTATGATGACGAGTTCTATTCAATTGATTGTTCAATGATGATCCGTAGTGTTGCGAATCGGTTTGTGCAAGATGAATCCTTACGGAATCCGGTCTGTTGATCTTGAAGTTGGGCGTCTACTGAGTCTTTCATCCGGTTCGGCAACACTGGAAAACCTTTCCTGGTATTGACAGTAGTGTGATGACTCTGTAGTTCTCACATTTGCTTAGATCTTTTTTGGTATCTTGATGAGGTATCCTTCTCAGTCTGTCGGCACTTGTTCTTCCTCCCAAATCTTCCTGAACAGACTGTGAAGCATGTTAGCAGTTACTTTTATGTCTGACTTGAGCGCTTCGGCTGGTATATTGTCTGGTCCTGCTGCTTTTCACTTTTGGTTTGTCTGATGACCATCCTGATTTCTTCGGTCGTCGGTTTAGTGGCATCTTTAGGAAGATCTATAGGTGCTGCCTCGATATCCGATGGATTCAATAGAGCTGGTCTATTCAAGAGTTTCTTGAAGTGTTGTACCCATTTTTTACTCTATTCTTGAATCTCAGCGATTGGCTTGCCTTCTTTGTTCTTGAAAACTAACCTAGAAGTTTGAAAAAAAAAGATCTCTACATGAAAACATGCCATTTTTAAACATACACATCTGTTCTTACCTAACAACTCGATCCCAATGGTTTTGGAAATTGTTACATTTTTTAAAAAGTATACTTGAACGTACAAATGCAATATCTTAAATGTCTTTAACATACCGGAATTTTATTAAGGACAAATCAATATTCGTTACACCGCTAATTCAAAATATCTCATGGAGTATTCAAGAGGTTATATTTTGGAATATCTCGAAAGATTGAGATTTAATCAGGTATATTGGAAGTCTCCACGAGCATTGAATTGCTAGCCTAATTTATACGTTTTGGTACTGTCACTGCTAGTCCATTCCTGTTACAGGTGTGGCAGGGGTTGTTACTTCATAGTTCTCTGTGCCATGACAGGATATTTCTTGAGGCACCCAAAATGGTAACCAAACTAGGAGTGGTTTCGACGACCTGGAATTTCCATCACAGTGTCCAAGCGACGACTGCTTAAAGCTGCTCACACGTTCTTTCTTCGAATGGTTTTAGATGGGCTAGCTCTGTACTTATGGCTTTACTGCCCTCAATGGAAATCCATGGGGCAAAATAAGGTGTACTGTTCCTAGCTTCGACCCTTTCTAACCGTCCTGTCGTCGGAAGACGGTATTACTAGAAATGGTTGTCTAAGTGAAATAACTCTCCTGCCGTACTCCTATACAGTCTGTAGTTGCCTTCGGACCACAAGTTTACTCGTAGTCTCCGAATCAGTCGAAATAATCAGGATTTTGTTGCTAAGTTTTTGTCTTATCAGAGTTGATCTGGTCTCTTCTTAGTATATAGCATAAATTCCTTTGTCTGGTAGGTGTAGTTTAGTTATCTTTATAGATTTAAGCGTATTTCCATAATACATATTCACTCACTTCTAGGCCAGTAATCACCAGTGTGGTTTAGCTGTAGCACTAAACGAAAAGTCATTACCACCTCCCCCTGAATTTATTAAACATCGTGAAGAGTTATGGAATAGACTGAAGAGGGAATATGATGGTTTCGTTGCTTCACAACCACGTTCACCTGTTCAGATCACTTTACCAGATGGAACTATTGTGGATGGAAAAGCCTGGGAAACTACTCCAATGGAAGTGGCCAAAAATATTAGGTAATCTAATTCTTTAAAAGATCGTAATTTTACCCTTTTTTATATTTAAGCTTTAATTCACTAGTTACTGATCTATTTAGTGTAAAGTCTATTATGTTATCTAGGTGAACCTACTTGCATTCCACAGACTATAATGCATTATCTCAAGCAGTAAACTTTCGAGTAATTAATCAGAGTGGTACGAACTTCACTCTGTCTGTCAAGACTGTCAGGTAACTAAATATTACAGCAGCTCGCAGATTATAGGTGCGGTTTTCATAAACTGGTATATATAGGACTGTATAGTTAATTATTCATCACTGCTATTTCGACAACCCCATCTTTAGGAAAGTTGAAGCTCAGCAAAATGCACTGTTTTACTTCGAATGGTACGTACTACCATCACAATGTGAACTTGGATTGAAAATCTACGATTAAGCTCCCACTATCATATTTCAGTTGTCATTCATCCTCTTCATGTCTGCTTCCAGTTCTCGACAGTGTGCTCTTTGGCCTTCCTCTTTTTCGTTTCCTTTCGGGATTCCAAGTTAGGGCTTGTCTCATGATACAGTTTGGTGATTTCCGTAATGTATGTCTTATCCATTTCCGACGTCTTTTCCTAATTTCCTCTCCAGCTAGAAGCTGATTTATCCTCTCTCACAGTAAGCTGTTGTTGATGGTATCCGGCTAATGGACATTCAGTATCTTACGTAGACAATTGTTTGGAAACACTTATACCTTTTTGACGATGTTTTGGCAGTTCTCCAAGTTTCAGTTCCGTATATAGAACTATCTTGACCTTCGTATTGTAGATAATGGTTGACAGTTGTTTTGAGTCCCATATGTTCGACTGTAGGAATGCTGCCTTTGCTTTGCCAATCCTTGCCTCTACGTCTGCATCTGATCCTCCTTGTATGTTGATGATGTTGACCAGGTATATGAGTTTCCGCCTATTCCAGAGTTTCTTCATCTAGTGTGATTGGGTTGGTGTTCTCCACGTTTTGATTTGTGATCTTGCTTTTTTCCTTGTCTATGTTTAAAACTATTGATGCAGAGGCTACTGTCACACTCTTCACTTGCATTTGTTGGTGTGTATGGGATAGAAGGGCTAGGTCACATGGGAAGTTTAAATCGCCTAATAGCATCCAAGTTGTCGATTGTATTCTGTGCTTCTCTTGAGGTGTGGAGGTCTACATTATCCAATCAAGGGTAATCAGTCTTGTTTGACTCAGGTCTTCACTTGGAATGCGTCTGTCAGCTGTCCTCCATGCACGACTTTGCGCTGTAGTCCGTCTTATGAGTTCCGTATGATGTTGACGATTTTCTCAGGTACTCCATAGTGTCGACGTTTTCATAATGTTCTTCTGTCCACACTGTCAAATGTTTTCTCATAATCGAGGAAGTCAGTGTATGATGACGAGTTCTATTCAATTGATTGTTCAATGATGATCCGTAGTGTTGCGAATCGGTTTGTGCAAGATGAATCCTTACGGAATCCGGTCTGTTGATCTTGAAGTTGGGCGTCTACTGAGTCTTTCATCCGGTTCGGCAACACTGGAAAACCTTTCCTGGTATTGACAGTAGTGTGATGACTCTGTAGTTCTCACATTTGCTTAGATCTTTTTTGGTATCTTGATGAGGTATCCTTCTCAGTCTGTCGGCACTTGTTCTTCCTCCCAAATCTTCCTGAACAGACTGTGAAGCATGTTAGCAGTTACTTTTATGTCTGACTTGAGCGCTTCGGCTGGTATATTGTCTGGTCCTGCTGCTTTTCACTTTTGGTTTGTCTGATGACCATCCTGATTTCTTCGGTCGTCGGTTTAGTGGCATCTTTAGGAAGATCTATAGGTGCTGCCTCGATATCCGATGGATTCAATAGAGCTGGTCTATTCAAGAGTTTCTTGAAGTGTTGTACCCATTTTTTACTCTATTCTTGAATCTCAGCGATTGGCTTGCCTTCTTTGTTCTTGAAAACTAACCTAGAAGTTTGAAAAAAAAAGATCTCTACATGAAAACATGCCATTTTTAAACATACACATCTGTTCTTACCTAACAACTCGATCCCAATGGTTTTGGAAATTGTTACATTTTTTAAAAAGTATACTTGAACGTACAAATGCAATATCTTAAATGTCTTTAACATACCGGAATTTTATTAAGGACAAATCAATATTCGTTACACCGCTAATTCAAAATATCTCATGGAGTATTCAAGAGGTTATATTTTGGAATATCTCGAAAGATTGAGATTTAATCAGGTATATTGGAAGTCTCCACGAGCATTGAATTGCTAGCCTAATTTATACGTTTTGGTACTGTCACTGCTAGTCCATTCCTGTTACAGGTGTGGCAGGGGTTGTTACTTCATAGTTCTCTGTGCCATGACAGGATATTTCTTGAGGCACCCAAAATGGTAACCAAACTAGGAGTGGTTTCGACGACCTGGAATTTCCATCACAGTGTCCAAGCGACGACTGCTTAAAGCTGCTCACACGTTCTTTCTTCGAATGGTTTTAGATGGGCTAGCTCTGTACTTATGGCTTTACTGCCCTCAATGGAAATCCATGGGGCAAAATAAGGTGTACTGTTCCTAGCTTCGACCCTTTCTAACCGTCCTGTCGTCGGAAGACGGTATTACTAGAAATGGTTGTCTAAGTGAAATAACTCTCCTGCCGTACTCCTATACAGTCTGTAGTTGCCTTCGGACCACAAGTTTACTCGTAGTCTCCGAATCAGTCGAAATAATCAGGATTTTGTTGCTAAGTTTTTGTCTTATCAGAGTTGATCTGGTCTCTTCTTAGTATATAGCATAAATTCCTTTGTCTGGTAGGTGTAGTTTAGTTATCTTTATAGATTTAAGCGTATTTCCATAATACATATTCACTCACTTCTAGGCCAGTAATCACCAGTGTGGTTTAGCTGTAGCACTAAACGAAAAGTCATTACCACCTCCCCCTGAATTTATTAAACATCGTGAAGAGTTATGGAATAGACTGAAGAGGGAATATGATGGTTTCGTTGCTTCACAACCACGTTCACCTGTTCAGATCACTTTACCAGATGGAACTATTGTGGATGGAAAAGCCTGGGAAACTACTCCAATGGAAGTGGCCAAAAATATTAGGTAATCTAATTCTTTAAAAGATCGTAATTTTACCCTTTTTTATATTTAAGCTTTAATTCACTAGTTACTGATCTATTTAGTGTAAAGTCTATTATGTTATCTAGGTGAACCTACTTGCATTCCACAGACTATAATGCATTATCTCAAGCAGTAAACTTTCGAGTAATTAATCAGAGTGGTACGAACTTCACTCTGTCTGTCAAGACTGTCAGGTAACTAAATATTACAGCAGCTCGCAGATTATAGGTGCGGTTTTCATAAACTGGTATATATAGGACTGTATAGTTAATTATTCATCACTGCTATTTCGACAACCCCATCTTTAGGAAAGTTGAAGCTCAGCAAAATGCACTGTTTTACTTCGAATGGTACGTACTACCATCACAATGTGAACTTGGATTGAAAATCTACGATTAAGCTCCCACTATCATATTTCAGTTGTCATTCATCCTCTTCATGTCTGCTTCCAGTTCTCGACAGTGTGCTCTTTGGCCTTCCTCTTTTTCGTTTCCTTTCGGGATTCCAAGTTAGGGCTTGTCTCATGATACAGTTTGGTGATTTCCGTAATGTATGTCTTATCCATTTCCGACGTCTTTTCCTAATTTCCTCTCCAGCTAGAAGCTGGTTTATCCTCTCTCACAGTAAGCTGTTGTTGATGGTATCCGGCTAATGGACATTCAGTATCTTGCGTAGACAACTGTCTACACGTATGACTAATCAAGTTTTTTGATAGGTTAACCCCCTCAACTTAGATAAACACTATATTTATTTATTTATTTATTTATTTGAACACATAAATATTGGTACAATAGAGCGCCAATATATATGCGCCACACAAAACAATGGGAATTCGAAGAGAAGTAGAAAGAAGAAGAAAAAAAAAACAACTAAGGAACGCAAAAGAAAAAGAGAACAATGACGAAGAGATTGGAGTAAGGTAGTGTGGTAGTAACGACGGAACGAAAAGGTACAATCAGAAGAAATCTTTCAGGTAAAGGAGACACAACCACTTTTTATGAAGAAAGTAAAAGAAGGTTACAGCAGGATCGCCACTGGCTTCTATTCTGAGCCATATCTGATAACGTCTCTAGCCACTGTGTAGCACCATCTCTCGGACCCCAGCCAGGGAGTCGTGAAGGACCAACACAAGCCAGTCCTTTGCAGCTTTCTTTCATGCCACGACACCATGTCATGCACTGACCACCTCTCCACTTCTTCCAACCAGTCCCAGAGTCGGCAAATAATGCACGACGTGGAATTCTCTGGGACGACATTCGGAGAACATGTCCAAGCCACCGAAGTCGGTGTTTCAAGATGGTGACACCAATAGAATTATCATCTCTGTGCCCGAACACACGATGCCGAACCTCTGCATTACTAACATGGTGTTGCCACTGGATGTCAGCAATCCTTCGGAGACAGCGATGATCGAACACAGAGAGTCGTCTAACGTCCTCAACTCGGAGAGGCCAGGTTTCACAAGCATAGAGCAAAACTGCTCTCACCGACGCGTTGTAGATCCGGCCTTTTACAGCCAGACTAACATCACGAAGGCGCCAAAGGTGGCCCAGATTGGCATAAGCCGCTCTGGCTTTCACTATTCGTGCATTGATCTCATCACTCACGCCACCACCAGCACTTATGCAGCTACCTAGAAACACGAACTTCTCGACTAATTCTATCTGCTCACCATCCAGGGTGAGTACAGGATTGGAATCCTGCCAGTCTTGTAGAAGTACATTGCACTTCGAAGGTGCAAAGCACATACCACACCTACGGACACTGATTGCCAACTGATTAAGTGCGGATTGCATGCCTTGGGCATTATTGCACAGTAAGACAATATCGTCCGCATACTCAAGGTCGAGAAGTCTTTCTCCAGGCAACAGATCCACAC